TCTCCTTCTCCCTCCCGCCTCCCGCCTCCCATGATTTCGTGCCCTTCCCACCTCTCCAGGGGGGCCCCGCCTGAGCGAGGAGGGTATCGGAAACCCATACTATTTACATGGTTTCGTGCCCCTCCCACCCCTCCAGGGAGGCCCCGCCTGAGCGAGGAGGGTATCAGAAACCCATACTATTTACATTGTTTCGTGCCCCTCCCACCCCTCCAGGGAGGCCCCGTCTGAGCGAGGAGGGTATCGGAAACTCATACAATTTACATGGTTTCGTACCCCTTCCACCCCTCCAGGGAGGCCCTGCCTGAGCGAGGAAGGTATCGAAAACCAATACTATTTACATGGTTTCGTGCCCTTCCCACCTCTCCAGGGAGGCCCCGCCTGAGCGAGGAGGGTATCAGAAACCCATACTAGTTACATGGTTTCGTGCCCCTCCCACCCCTCCAGGGAGGCCCTGTCTGAGCGAGGAAGGTATCGGAAACCCATGCTATTTACATGGTTTCGTGCCCCTCCCACCCCTCCAGGGAGGCCCCGTCTGAGCGAGGAGGGTATCGGAAACCCATACTATTTACATGGTTTCGTGTCCCTCCCACCCCTCCAGGGAGGCCCCGCCTGAGCGAGGAGGGTATCGGAAACCCATGCTGCTATTTACATGGTTTCGTGCCCCTCCCACCCCTCCAGGGAGGCCCCGTCTGAGCGAGGAGGGTGTCGGAAACCCACACTATTTAGGTGGTTTCGTGCCCCTCCCACTGACATGGGTGAGGAGGATGGGAGGACATTACCTATCCATCTCACGTCCTCCTCCTCCTCCTCCGTCTCCTCCTCCAGGAGGGTATCGGAAAACAATGCAGTTTACATGGTTTCGTGTCCCCCCTCCACTCCTCCAGAGGCCGCGCTTGAACGAGGAGGGTCGCGGAAAACACTACTCTTTACCAGGTTTCGTAGCCCTCCCCCTTCCAGCGGGGCCCCGCCAGAGCGAGGAGGGTATCAAGACACCGTACTATTTACAAGGCTTCGTTTCCTGAGCACCTGTCCTCCCTCCTCCTTTCTTTCGTCTGCCCTTTCGTGCGTACTTACTCGTTCGATGAGCTTCTCCTTCGTGTTGATGTTGTCGTACCCCATGGGTCCCACGAAACCGTTAATATCTTTATGTGGGGAACTCCATTCGCATTTTTGTTTCTTTAAAACAAAAAAGCATTTTCATTGAATTCTGCCAAGCGGCGCGCGTGCTGGGGGGGCACGATCCGTCTCAACATATACCATGCGGGCCACTATCGCGCGTCGGCCGCGCGCGCATGTCGAACTCTTCCGAAATTTCTCATCACCGACGCGAGGACGCCGTCATCGTCGTTCGTCGGCGTGATCAGCATCGGCGCCCGCACTGGCCGCGCCGTCGTCGTTGTCAACATTGTCACAGACATCGCTGTTATTATCATAGTGGAGAGAGCGTGATCCACCGCCGCTTTACTGTGGAAAATTCCCCCCCTCTTCCTCTGGAGCCCCGGGTTCCCCCCCCCTCCGAAAATCCCCCCCGCCCCCCCTGCTGGACCCCCCCCCTCCCCCCCGGCAAACCCCCCCTTCCCCTACCCCCCCCGTCTTCCCCTCCGGAAAACCGGGGGGGTCCCTATCGGTTCGAACCACTCCCCCTCCCCGGAAAACCAGAGAGGGGTCACTACCGGTTCGAACCCCCCCCCTCCAGAAAACCGGGGGGCGGGTCACTACTTGTTCGAACCCCCCCCCCATCGAAAACCCGGGGGGGTTACTACTGGTTCGAACCCCTCCCCCGCAAACTAGGGGGGTTCATTACCAGTTCGAACCCCCCGCCCCCCCCCTCGAAAACCGGGGGGGGGTCACTACTGGTTCGAACCTCTCCCCCCCCCACGCTCACCGTCAGGAAACAACTCTGGGTCTTTACCACCGTCCGCACCACATCCCCCACTGCTGTCCCCAGCACCCCTGTCCTCACCACCATTGTCCCCACTGTTCCCATCACCGTTACCACTGTCCTCACCAGTGCCCCCATCACTGTCGCACTGTCCCCACTGTCCCCACCGCTGTTCCCACCATGGTTCCACTCTCCCCACTTTCTCTACGGCCCCAACCACTGTCCCACTGTCCCCACTGTCCCACTGTCCCACTGTCCACGCCGCTGTCCCACTGAGCTTTCCCACTGTTCCCACCACTGTCCCCACTGTCCCCACCTCTGTCCCTACTGTACCTCTGTCCCATTATCCCACCGCCGTCTTCGCCACCGCCCTCTTCACTGTCGCCACCACCACTGTACCCTCCAGTGTCCCACTGTTTCCACCACATTCCCAGTGTCCCCACCACCGTCCCCACCACCACCGTCCCCACCTCTGTCCCACTGTCCCCACTGTTCCCACCAACGTCCCCGCTGTCCCCACCAGTGCCCCCACCAGTCTCTTACTGTCCCCACTCTCCCCACCATTGTCCCACCACGGTCCCACTCTCCCCACTTTCCCCACGGTCCCCACCACTGTCCCGCTGTCCCCACTGTTCCCACCATTGTCCCACTGTCCCCGCCGCTGCCCCACTGTGCTGTCTCACCGTCTCCACTGTCCCCATCACTGTCCCGCAGTCCCCACTGTCCCCACCACTTTCTCCAGTGTTCTACTGTCCCACCACTGTCCTCACCACCGCCTTCGCCACTGTCCCCACGACTACCGTCCCCACCACAGTCCCACTGTCCCCACCACTGTCCCGCTGTCCTCTCGCCACTGTCCCCACCACCACCGTCCCACCATTGTCCGCACCACTGTCCCACTGTCCCCGCGCCACTGTCCCCACCACCACCGTTCGCACCACTGTCCCAACATCCCCACCATTCTCCAACTGTCCCGAGGAGCGGGCATCGTTTGCCGGCGGCGAAGGGGGGGGTTCGAACCGGTAGTGACCCCCCCCGGTTTTGGAGGGGGGGGGGGGTCGAACCAGTAGTGACCCTTCCATTTTGCTGATGGAAGGGGGGGGGGCGGGTTAGGAACCCCCAGTGACCCCCCCGGTTTTCCGCCAGCAGCGGTAGAACACGCTTTTTGTCATCGTGTCTACCGTTGTCCACGTTGCCCCGATGCCGCGCCCGCCGAAGTCGCCGACTTGCACTGAAGTGCCCGCTGGGATGTGCCCAGCGGTCAGCGCCACCGCGGCCGCGTTGGTCGCGCCAAACTAGCTGGCCGCTGCGCGCGCGTGCTTGGGTTGGCTTTGCCGCAGAGATGGACCAGCCAACGCCAAGCACTCATCGCAATCGCCACCGCATGTGTTTTACAAACCAAGTTGCGGGTGGGTGGGTGGGATGAGTGCGCGAGCAGTGGAGTTGACAGTTCACTGCGGCAATTAATTTAATCAACCACGTCGATTTTCCTTCCTAGAAGAGAGTAGACTCTACCCCCCGGAGTTAACGGCCCCCTTTTCGTATTACAATTTACATATGATTCTGCCCCATCGGCCATCCTAAATATGAGTTCGTGCCATCCCAGCCAAGCCGGTATCACTCCCCCCCGCCATCCTATGCGCGCGCACTCGTTTATAACAGTTCATAAGTTTCCAACCATTCTTTACAACAAATGGGACGAAGTCCACACGCGCGCGTCCATGCCCACATCGTACCAAACACACTGTGTTTGCAAGCGTTTCAGCATACAACCTAAAACACGTTAGGGTTTAGAAGCATTTTGTTTTTGTCCGCGCGCTCATGCTAAACTCATATAAGAACCGTACGATTCTTGAGAGCTCTGCCAACTCCAGCGATTTCATGTCACCGCGCGGTGCACCCGCTATACTCCTATCGTGCGCCGAGGGCGCGAATCCATTGCAAAAATACCACGCGGGCCACATGCGCGCACCGCCGCGCGCGCATGATCAGTCTGACGGATTTGTTGAACTTCCGCGCGCGCGGATTTCCTTTTCAACCTTGTCAGCATCACCGCGATCACCTGGGTCATCGACAGATGGACATCAGCATCGTCAGCGTGTTTGCCATCATTGGCGCCGTTATCGTTCGTGCCGTCGCCCTCTTGAACATCGTCGTCGCTGGTGTCATCTTCGTCATTGTCGCAGACGTTGCCGACGTCATCTTGTCATCGCGCACGTCCGAGTATCGTCGATATGATCACCTTCATCATCGATGAACGGTGACGAGCATCGGCAGTGAGGATGTTATCGTCGATGTCTTCATCGGTGGCGCCGCCAACCCCCGCATCATGAGTTTTGCCAAACAAGTTGCGGGTGGGAGGGTGGGATGTTTGCGCGAGCAGTGGAGGTGGTCAAGCGCGGTGCAGGGTAGTCAACTGCATCACGTAGATTGCGCCATCAGGCAGGTTGCACCCCGTGTCCTGCAACTGCTTGGGTGCACATCGAGAGTGCAATCGCTCATTTTTTGGATTCCGCGCTGACATGCGTCAGTTGTGAAATTTAACGCCGCAGGAGTTCGACTGCCGTTTTTTGGAACGAAGCGACGGACGATAACGAAGAACATTTGTGTTTTTCGTTCGCCGTAGATCTTTGCGCGGTCATTCGGGGATGATAATCGTGATGTGCCAGGCCTACGGATGGGTTTACGATGCCAGCAGTTATGGTGACGGTTCCGCGTATTTTGACGTTGATCGTCCATGCGCTACCCCTCGGCTTGACGTAACAGTCGTGTTGATTGGGTTGCTGTTGTCAGTGACTGAAGTAGCCGTTGGCGTTAATTTTAATCCCATGACGTGCAATATCATCGGCACCATGGCCAGCGAACGATAATTCAATGCTGGGGTTCAGCGAGTTTTTTCTTGCACCGGAATGCTTACGACCGTTATTTATGCCTCCTATTGGTGAGTGTGGGCGCCCATCGTTTGATCATCCGTTACCCAGTTCATTTGTTTTTGGTTGCTGCTCTATGCTTTGCTTCTCGTCTCCCTATACCCTTCGTCTTTCGTGGGGCGAATGGCATTTCTCCATTTTCCTCGGCGCTGCATGATCTTCAGCTCACTCAGTTGTGTCCCGTTGCCCCTCAGTTGCCGTGGTGTGATACCTGTTTGTGCACGTGGTCGGTCGGACCGTTGGGGATGCGCGCGCAGCACATTGGACCGCTGTCACCGTCCTCGGTTCTTCCGCCCCCTTCCTCCCTCCCTTCCTCTCTGGCAGCTCTTTTGAGACCGCAGGCCACTCTGCGCATCCTCCGTTGGGGGAAAACATTCAGCGAGTGTGCGCACATTGCGTGGATGGTATTTGGTTTTCGGAATATCCAGTTCCCGTGCATATTATTGCCGAGACCTTGAGTGAAGTGTGCGACATAATCTCTGCAAAAGGCTGAGTGACCGCACAGTGTTCACTATTTCATCCTCCCTCGCCCCCTTCTTCCGTCTTCGTCCTTCTTCCTTCTTCCTGTTTTCCTCGTCTTCTTTCCCCATTCCCCCCTTTCCCCTTCCTTCGTCGTTCCCTTCCCCCCGTTCGACAGGTCTTGGTAATTGGACGTGTGGTGACCTGGCCGATGGTGACGTGCGTAGCCGCCCGCGGGGCAAGAGGAGGGATGGGAGAAGAGGAAAACGGGGTCAGGGATGAAGGATGCGGGGAAGGGCTGCTGCTCTTCGACGGACGGCAGAAGAGCCTAACGCACCTGATCGCGATTGCATGGTCGCGCCTCTCGTCCCCCGTGCTCCCTCCCCCTCTTCCTCTCCCGCCTCCACCCCGTTCCCGCTCCCGTTCCACCCCTTCAACCCTCCCCTCGCCTCCCCCGTCGCAGTCCCCGTCCTCCCTCCCTTTACTACCCCCCCCCCGTCCATCTCTCTTACCCCCCCCCCGTCGCTGTCGCTGTCCTCCCTCCCTGTGCCCCCCTTCCCCTCTCTCTTACCCCCTTTCCCCTCCCCTTCCTGCTCCCCTCCCCGCTCTCCCCCTCTCCCGGTGGCTGGGCTCGAGGGGCACGCCCCCTTCCCACAACCCCCCCGACACCCCCCGCGGGGCGCAGCCGCTTGCGACGCTGCCCTCCGCAAGGGGAGCCGCCCGCGCGGCCGCCGTCACCTGGCAGAGACGACGACGACGACACAAACTCAGCGACGACGACGGCGACGCCGACGCCGACGCCGACGCCGACGCCGACGCCGCCGACGCCGACGCCGACGCCGACGCCGACGCCGACGAAGATGCCGACGCCGACGACGACGCCGACGACGACGACGACGCCGACGACGACGACGACGACGACGACGTAAGCGCTCCCCCACCGCCCCCCCTCACGGCAGAGGCCCCCCCCCTCCCTCCGTAGTTCCCGCCGGAAGCGGCCGCGGCTGCGGCGGCCCTCCCTCGCGGCCACCGCCGCGGCGCGCCGCTGCCGCGCCCTTCGGGCTGCAGCTCGGCACCCTCGGCTCCAGCGTGGGGGCGCGCGACGCTGCTGGCCGCGATCGGGCCTCCACCCGCGGTGCCACGGCTCCCACCTCCAGGCCTGCTGCCGCCTGTTGTGCGGCGCCCCCGCGCCGCCCCAAGCTCCCACCAGCTCTCCAGGGGCTCTAGCGAGGTGTGCCTCCCTCGCCCCCTGCTCGCGCACGCCAGCCCCACGCCTTTCTTGAGCCTCCAGGGCGCGTGCACGCGCACGCTGAACCTCGTGCACCACGTCCGCCGCAGCGTGCCGCAGCGTGCCGACTGCCGAGCGATGTCGTCCGTGACGCGCGCGAGCCGCATGCCGGGCAGCAGGCCGACTCTCGCTGCATCGATGCCGCGACTCTGGCGATCCCAAGTCGCCCTGGGTCAGCCGTGCAGCCCGTCCTGGCTCTCCGCAGGACTCGTCCGAGCGCTCCGCGGAGGCTCCAGAGCACGGCGCCACCCGCCCGCCTATCGCGCCCGCACGAGATGGCCCGTTCAGTTGCCAGGCGGTTGTTTGCAAGGGGTCCTATGCAGTGACGACCCCGATAATCATAGCAGGAACTTTTGTCAGCGATCCGATGTCTTCCTTCACGGCTGAATCCATTGCTCTAGATGAAGCGGTCGAGGCTGTGAGGAAATTCGCGCTTGAAATAGACAGCCGGCCGTTCAACATGTGACCTAGGCCTCGAGAAAGAAAGAAACAATCCACCATATGAGCAGACTTCCCCAACGTGAGCGATGTGATTGTCTATCTGATCCTCCTGAACCTTCTGCGTGCCAGGGATGCCCTGGCGTGCTACCCGACCTTGGTTGTCCAGTGACCGTACAGTCGGAGTCCGCAGTACGCCGTTAGCTACAGAGTGCCGAGGGTCTGAAATACTTTCTGCCACCTGGTGGTTTCCGAGAATTGTGCGAACGCCTGGCGCCTCGCGTACCCGAACCACCACGGGAGCTTCCAGCATCCCTTGAGTTCTTCACCGAGCGCGCGTCGGCTCCGCTGCTGTTCGGGGGCTTGCCCGAGGCCACCAGGCGCCGTCGCGACGGGGAGGCCTGGCCTTCTGTGACTTGACCGAGGTACTCCAGATTTCGTAAGAAAGGGAGGGGGGTCTCATTTCGGGGGGGGTCTCTTCCAGGCTATCTTGGAGGGCCTGGGGGGGTCTGGGGACGGTGTTTTGGAGGGTTCTCCCACGGGGGGGGGGTCTGAAATGGCTTGTCTTGGAGGGTCCAGACCCCCTCCCTTTTATTACGAACTCTGGAGTACGTGAGCGAACGGCCGTGCAACGGAGGCAGTCGCTGTACGTTCCCCTCTCTCGCTTGCGTTGCCCGGCCGCTCGTTGCTCCTCGGCCACGTGCGCAGGCAGTCCACCGCAGGCGAGCGCGCTGCCTCCCTGCGGGTGGCCCGTCCGCTCGGGGGCCCCCCCCGGCAGAGGGTGCCCCCCCTCTGGCCCGCCCCTCGCGCTCCGAGCTCCTCGTCACGCGTGCCCCCGAGGCGCGCAGCGTGTCAAGGGCGGACGGAGCACAGACGACGGGGCCCGTTTTTTTTTTTTTTTTTTTTTTTTTTTTTTTTTTTTTTTTTTTTTTTTTTTTTTTTTTTTTTTTTTTTTTTTTTTTTTTTTTTTTTTTTTTTTTTTTTTTTTTTTTTTTTTTTTTTTTTTTTTTTTTTTTTTTTTTTTTTTTTGTTTTTTTTTTTTTTTTTTTTTGTGTGTGTGTGTTTTGTGTTAGAAGACATATTTACATGTATATATATATATGTATAACATTTTGTTTTTTGTTTTTTTTCGTTTCCCCCCCCCCCCCTCCCTCTTGCGATTGTCGGGCTCCTGGCCGCCGCGTCAGCGCGGGCCTGGGTTCCCGCGGAGCGCGGGCTCGCTCCTCCTCCGTCCGACCTCTCCGTCCCGCCCTGCGCCCCTGCTCTCGTCTCTCCCTCGCCCGCCCTCCCTCCGCTCCGCAGTCAGGAGGCGGAACGCACGTACTTTACCAGCCTGGAACATATCCCTATTCCTATGCTGGGCACCTCCTCATCACGATGCCAATCTTAGGGATTCCCTTATTTTTTGAGGGCGAATCCCTAAGATTGTCATCGCCTTTTGGCGTGTCAATCTTAGGGATAGGGATACGCTCGAGGCTGGTAAGTGCTTGCTGTGCAATGCTCCGCTTGGCGACGCTTTCGATGTGTTGCAGCGCACAGGGCATGGAGCAGGAGAGTGGATCAGAGGTGAGGCTGGGGCACGAGGCGATCCGAGTCGAGTCGCGAGTCCTCTTCCGGCCTTCCCGCCACCCTCTTGCCCTGCCGCGCTCTGCCCCTCTCCACCCTCCCCTCAGGAGGGAACAAAAACACACAGAAACAATTATTCGTCGATGCCCCAGAAAATATGCGAAAATATGGGGAAGTGGGGGGGAAGACAGAAACCCAGAAAGTATGGGAAAATGTGGGGAATCGTTTTATTTGTGTGTATGCATTTGTGTGTCCCAGGGCCCCTTCATCCCCGTCCTCCCTCCCCCCTTCCCCGCGGAGACCCGTGAAGTGGGGACGCTCTCTCGGGAGAATGCCTCGGCCACGCGCAGTGGACGGTGCAGGCAAAAACCCTGATAAGGACGCGCGACTTTGCTCAGGGTACCCTCGCGTCCTTGCTCTTCCCTGCTCTTGCGTCCTTGGGGTTTTCGTCGTCCGCCGCCCCAGAAATCCCAACTTCGGCTTCCAAGGGTCTTGCGTCCTTACCGCGCGTCCTTATTAGGGTTTTTGATTGCATGGGGGAGGGGAGGAGGCTCCTTAGAGACACCTCTACTTTTCAGAAGGCGCGGGCCTTGACTGCAGGTGTGGGCCGGCGCCTTCCAAGAAGCGGCCTCCTTCACTAAGAAGCCTTCTCTCCCCCCTTCCCGCTACCCCCGTCTGCGCGCCGCCCAATGTTGGTCGCTTCGCGTGTCCCCGCCAAAAGCCCATCCAGAAGCGAGGTGCAGGCGAGCCGTTGGGAGGAGGGGAATCGATGCAGTGGAGGCCCGACCGGAAGAAATCTTCCACAAGAAACCCAACCCTGAGACCCCATGGCTTCCATTGATTTTTGGTGTGGGAACGTCACGCTTTCCATAGCAAAACCATCGAAACCCAAGAAATCCAGGGAACCCTGGAGGCAAGCAGGGTGTTTCTTGGCAGGGGTCTCCACTGTAAGCACATCGTAAAGCAGGCTGGCAACAGTAAACTTACAGACCTCTTGGAGCCTCTCAGGGACCTCTTTTGGAGCAATCCTGGAGCTCCCTCAGAGCACTTTTGGGGGCCGTTGGGGTCCTCTCGCGACTCTCTTTTGGGTTCTCTCGAGGGCCTTTCGGCTTCCTTGGGGCCGTCTTGGATGCCCTTCAGCAAGAAAAGAGGGCGGCGTGAGTTAGTAGCGCCCTCTCTGGAACCCGATATGACGCCTCTTGACTTCATCTTGGGGCGCTCTTGGGGCGCTCTTTGGCCTCTTTAGGGCCGCCTTGGGCTTCTCCTGGGCCTCTTCTGGGCCCCTCTTGAGGCTTTCTTGGGCGATCGCGGGGCCATCGTGAGGCTTTGGAGGCCCATCGGAAGCGAACCAGCGGGAAGCCCAAACACGGACAAACCTTGGTTTTTGATACATTCTGGCCTCTTGTGTTCGAGTCTCCTTGAGACGCTCCTTGGCCACTTGGAGCCGTCTTGGGGTGACTAGGGTGGTCTTGGGGGCTTCTGGTGGCATGCTGAATGGCACCTTGAACCATCTTGGGCTACCTCGTGTCACTTTGGACACCATCTTGGGCTACTTGGGCCTTATCGGAGCCATCTCGGGCCAAAAAAGACCATGTGTCACCTCGCGCCCCTCTGGTCCAGATCCATAGTGAGGGGGTAGGGGGACGGTCACGTTCCCAACGGATCGCCACGATCCGTCTTGCTCACTCCCACCCGCCCTTTTATTTTAGAAGTAGTACCAGAGGCTTAGCATAGGCAGAGGTTGTCTTCGGATGGGCAGCTATCGCGGACCAATGCTCCAGCCGCACCAGGTGCGCCACGTGTGCGACTCACGCAGGGTGCGCAAGGCGGCGACAGGTGCGCCATCTCAGCGCACATCGGGCACACGTCGACCCGCCTCTTCTTTGGGAAAGGCCAGTGTACAGCGGCACGGAAGTGGTCAGCATCGTGTATGGTGTTGGCGCCCGCCATCAGTTTGAATCAGTCTTCTACGCGGGCAGTCACATTCCCGCCATCCCTGGCAAGCGCCGCTGCAAAGTCAACGCGGCGTGCCAGCTCATGATCCAAATTTTGACGACACGTGCATTTCATAGTGTTTGACAGAGTCGGCGCGGGGGGCACCTTCATTTCTCCAGGTTGGCAAAAAAACGAGTGGGGGAGACGGTTGTAGATTTGGTTGGAGCAGTAATTAGCCACCTCTCGGAGGGGTAGGAGGATTTTGGAAACAGAAGCTCCCCAAACCACCTACGCCCAGAGGGCTGCTGGGATTCGGGTCAGGCAGGATGGGGCCGCCGCAGGTTGGTATTCGACCAGCTGTGTGAGGGAGGGGATGGGGAGGGTGGTGGGGCGGGGATGTGGAGGGTGGATGGCAGGAGAGGGAAGGGAGCGGAAGACGTGAGGGGAGGAACGCGGGGAGGGAGGCAACCTGGGCGCGTTCGGGCCATATTTGGTATCCTACCTCTCTCACCCATCCCTTCGCATGCGCTGACTTGTCGATATCTACTGCGGATGTCGTAGCGGGCCTGAACCATGAGCATGACACCATCGAAGCGCAATGATAAAAATGGTTTTGCGTATATTGGAGTTGGTGGAGAAGGAGGAGTTGGCGGATGAGCAGCATGAGCAGGAGGACGGGCCGGGTGAACTGGAACAGGAGGAGGAGGAGGAGGAGAAGGAGGAGGAGTAAGCGTATGAGGAGGATAAGGAGGAAGGATGAGGAGGAGGAGGACGAATAGCAGCAGCACGAGCAGGAAGGAGCTGGAGGACCACGTGAAGGGTGTTTTTTTGGGGGACAGCGACGAGGAAAGACTCGGATCCAAACATGTGACTTGTGCTGGGGCGACAGCGCAACTCTTGAACGGCGTGAACAACGCGCCGATCCCGAAATGAGGTCAACGCTGCAGCGGGAATGCCACTCTCAAGACAGAACATGCTCCGATCGAGCAAACCGCACAACACATCATATTCTGAGCCCCTCTTCCTGGTTTGCATAGTGACATTTTCAAACGCGATGTGGTAGGGTTGCCAGTGCTGTTGGGCGAGGAGAATGTTATATATGGAACTCCTGCGCGTGGAAGAACAGCATGCGGGAGCAAAGGAGGCCCCGCTCGCACAGGAGCCGTGGAGATGGCATTCCGATGGGGTAATTCTGGAGAAGAGCGGGGAGGGGAGGCGGAGGATGAGGAGGAGGATGGAGAGGAGGCGGAGGAGGAGGAGGAGGAGGAGGAGGAGGAGGAGGAGGAGGAGGAGGAAGAGGAGGAGGAGGAGGGAGGAGGAGGGGAGGAGGAGGAGGAAGAGGGGAGGAGGAGGGGAGGGGATGGGGCAAGCTATGTGCGCTCGCGTCATATCTGACGTCCTACCCCTCCCTCCCATCCCTTACAATGGCGCTGATTTTCTCTATCCGCGGACGCGTGTCGCAGCGGACCTGTGGCTCCGCGCGCGCGTGCGTAGTGGGTGGTGGTGCGCGTGCGTGCGTGCGTGTGTGCGTGGTTGTGGTTATGGTTATGGTTGTGGTTGTGGTGGTGGTGGTGGTGGTGGTGGTGGTGGTGTGTGTGTGTGTGTGTGTGCGTGTGTGCGCGTGTGCTGTGGTGTGACGTGGTGTGGCGTCTTGGTGGCTTGGTGGTGGGCCAGGTGCGTGCGTGCGTGATAGCGGTGGTGGTGGTGGTGGTTGGTGGTGTGTGTGTGTGTGTGTGTAAGTGCGTGTGTGTGTGTGCGTGTGTGTGTGTGTGTGTGTGTGTGTGTGTGTGTGTGTGTGTGTGTGTGTGTGTGTGTGTGTGTGTGTGTTATGTGTGTGCGTGCGTGCGTGCGTGTGTGTCTGTGTGCGCGCGCGTGTGATGTGGTGTGACGCGGTGTAGCGTGGTGGTGGTGGGTGGGGTAGTGGGGTGGTGGTGGCGGTGCGCGGTGGTGGTGCGCGTGCGTGCGTGCGTGCGTGCGTTGGTGGGTGGAAGTGGCGGTGGGCGGGGCGGGGCGCGGTGCGGTGGTGGCGGGCGGATGGGCGCGCGAGAAAGAGGCCCGCGCTGGGGCGAGAACGCCATCCTGAACGACGGAGGCAAAACACCGATCCGAAAATGAGACCCACGCTGCAGCGGGAGCACGATTCGGAACGAGCGGGGCCCGAAAATGAGGCCGGCGCCTCAGCGAGAGCAGCATTTTGGAAAAAAATGCAGGCGAAAACCCAACGCCGGGGAAATCTGTGTGTAAAAAACAGTACGCGGGGGGGGGGTCGGCTACTCCCATTCCGTCATCAGGGGAAGAGGGAGAGTAGTATTCATATTGAGTAATTGTAGAGGGAGTGCGGGAGTGAATGGGAAGGGGGGACGAGGGGAAGGGAAGGGGAGCGGATGGGGCAGGGAACGGCGACGAGGGGAAGGGGAGGGCATGCCCAACGGGTCGGCTGCAAGCGATCGGAGGTGACATGTCCCTGGGGGGCTTCAGTATAGGCCCCGCCTTTTTGAGATGGTGCTGCTGCCCGCGTCTGCTTCCTTGGCGTGCCATGCCTCTCTGACTCTCGGCCACCGCGCTCTTATTCGAGCGGCAGCCGTATCCATCACCCGGTTGACTGCGTGATGGCGTCCATTACCTGTACGGCTGTGTTAAGCCTCCGTGTCCATGGCAGCTTCTGCCCAAGGATGCCACCGTCTTTTGTCGTATCGTGGGGGCGTTTGTTAAGCAACGTGTCGCGGAGGCCTCAGACTCTGGATGATCCCTTATCTGATGAGGGCGGCGATGATGGCCATGGTCCAACCTCGATCGGTGCTCCACCAGCTTTCAGGCCCTTGATTCCGTATCCAAGGGCCCCTCATCCAATGCCTTCGCCGTGTTGCGTGGTGCGCTGGGTGCTGAGGTGCGGTCGCATTTGCCAGCGCTCGCCGCACCCCCAGCACATCCCTTGCCAGCCGCTTCAGCGGGCCCAGCTGCTGGGCGTCCCCCGGCAATCAATATCTAGCGACAGCGAGGGGATTCGAGTCCCTGCGGGCAGAGCCCAATTCCCAATCAGAGCTTGCCTCTGTAGGGGTCCTAGCGGATTGATGGGTAGGTGAGGTGTGCCGCCGATTCGGTGGCCGGGCCCGGGTGCCCGGGTGCCCGGGTGCCCGGGTTCGCCTCCGATTCGGTGGCCGTGCCCGGGTGCCCGGGTGCCCGGGTGCTCGGGTGCCCGGGTTCGTCGCCGATTCGGTGGCCGGGACCGGGTGCCCGGATGCCCGGGTGCCCGGGTGCCCGGGCGACGGGTGCCCGGTGCTCGGGTGGGTGCCAGGGTGCCGGGTGCCGGGTGCCCGGGTGCTCGGTGCCCTGTAGCCCTATAGCCTTATAGCCCTATACCCCTATAGCCTTATCGCCCTATAGCCCTATAGCCCTATAACCCATATAGCCATATAACCATATAGCCCATATAGCGCCCAAGAGCCCATATAGCCCTGTGGCCCTATAGCCCTACAGCCCTAAAAAGATTATGATTGGGTTTTTTCTCTGGTATCGGAGCCAGCGACCCGTCGCGCCATCAGGCGAACCATTTCTCACGGGGTCCCGCTCGCGGAGCCCCTGTCACGGGGGGCCCCCCCGTCCCCCTGCCCTGGGCCGGGGAAGGTGGCCGTATCTGTGCACGGGGCCACGCCCCCTCGGGGTCCTGGCCCTGGTGGCCCTGGGGGTCGCAGCCACTGCTGCATCGGGCCTCCGGGAGCCAGTTTTCGTCGCGTCGTGTCGAGCCTCGGTGCGCTTCGGAATGCGGATCGCTGGGTGCTGTCTTCTTGTGGACGACAGCCCATGGAGAGGAGACATGTTGCCAAACTATTTCCAGACGGCTCAGTCTTGCTTAACTACAACCTGTTTTACACATGCTCAAATCTGTTTGAAATATGTGGAAACGTTCAACCTACATGTTTAGTTCAATGATAAGAACGGTTCGAGTGTCCATTGCCATGGCATGCACAGCTATATTCGATAGGTCTTGATATCGAAGCAGCCGGCTGCCTCCTCAAGCTCGAGCACCCGCTGGTCAATGAAGAAGGTAGTGCAACGGCCTAACACTTGTTGGTCCAACATAGTTGCCGAGGACTGAGGGTTCTCGATAATGTACGTTTCTTTCACAGGCTAAGCGTGACGATATCCAAGAATTGGTTGGTCCCGAGGATGAAGTAGGACGCAGGGCCAACTTGTTCCATTCGATCGAGGCCGTGACGCCCAATCTAAAGTTGGGGCATGGGCAGGCTGGCCAGACTGAAGCTGAGTTACCCGCTTCGTGTCCGGGCTGGAGTCTATTGTCTTCGACATGAGAGCTTCTACCTTCTGAGCTTCGAGTGCGAGTCTGAGGTGATGCACCAACATCGTGTAATTTTACGTGCGTTCTCAATTCCATGGTGCAGTGCTCCGATGTAGACAAAAGGTCAACAAAGTCAGACCCTGCACAATCGCTTCTTCATGGCTTGAAGATGATTTCAATTGGGGGGTCCTTTCCTTTCCTCACCTCCCTTCCCCTCCCAGCGTTGGACGGGGAGGGCGGGGGTGAATGGTTGGAGCAGGCCCACGAACCCAGACCCCCGACGTAATGATTTCCTCATCACGTCGACCCTCAGAGGTCCCCACCCCTTCCCCAGGACCGGCCTTGCATCCCGAGTCGTCTCTTGACGCTCCCGAAGCCCGGAGAGGGCGCCCGGAGGCTGAAAGTTAAGAAAAACCTTCCATCATGATTTGGGAATCCCTGGAAGTCTCGACCCCTTCCCCGGGAGGAGGAGGAGGAGGAGGAGGAGGAGGAGGATGAGGAGGAGGAGGAGGAGGAGGAGGAGGAGGCGGAGGAGGAGGAGGAGCAGGAGGAGGAGGAGGAGGAGGAGGAGGAGGAGGAGGAGGAGGAGGAGGAAGGAGGAGGAGGAGGAAGTGGAGGAGGAGGAGGAGGGGGAGGAGAGCAGGCCCACGAATGCACAACGCCTCGGCTCCCAGCACGCTACCACGACTCCATTCTCAACCTGTACAAGCGCGCTCAGGACTCGGCCGGCTGGCGGGGGGAAGGCCGCCGCGCGGCGGCACGAGGCCGCAGCCGAGGGCTCCGGCAGCCTGTCCGTCGCTAGTCGCCTGGGGCGCTCTGGGGGACTCAGGATGACAAACCGGTCCCGGGGAATAGGTCGAGAATTCTGGGGGTCGACACCATGAACAAAATAATGACGTCGGGGGTCTGGGTTGGCCGATCCCCACTGGCCGATCCGCCCCCCTGGATCGGAACTTGTGCTGTTCCCCTCGGGCTTGGCAGGGTCTATCCGCAACCGGAGGGAGTCTGCCCCGGTCGTGCGTGCCAGGCTCGCAGGCGCAGTCATGCTGCCACAGAGCCATGCGTGTCGCAGCCAGGGGGCGCGTGCGACGGGGAGGGAGGGAGGGGCGAGGGGGATGAAGGGGGCGGAAGGCGGGCACGGAGGTGCCGGGAGAGGCAGGGAGGAGGCAGGGAGGAGGGAGGGGAGGGAGGGGAGGGAGAGGAGGGGAGGGAGGGGAGGGGAGGGAGCGAGGGAGGGGAAGGGGGGAGGGAGGGAGGCAGGGGGGAAGAGGGGGGCGCGAGTTGGGGCGGGAAGGAGGGAAGGGGCCAGGGAGGGGGGGGGGGGTGCGCGCGCGTGGGGCGATGGACGAGGAGGGAGGGGGGGCGGCAGCCGAGGTCGGTCGTGGCGTGCCGTGGCTCCACGCAGCAGGCGAGGGTGGCCTCTCGGCGCCCGCGGCCGCCCTCTGCGCGCGCGGCCGCGAGGGCGTCAAGGGCTCGCCGTTCACGCTGCTGGCGAGCCCCTGGAGCCCGCCGCCGTGGATGAAGACGGCCTCCAGCTCGGGGGAGCGCAGGTTCGACGGCGACGGGCACCTCAGGCGCGGGCGGGGCACGCCGGGCAGGGGAGCCGCGCGGCAAAAAGGGGGGGGGGGGGTGGGGGGGGGGGGGTGTGTCGGGATGGGGAGCAGGGAGGGGACGGGCGGGGGATGGGGGTGGGGATGGGATGGGGGGCGACGGGGTGGGCCAGGGATGGGCTCCTCCTCCTCCTCCCTCCCTCATCCTCTTCCTTCCATCCTTCCTGTTCTTCCTCCTCCTCTTCCTCCTCGTCCTGGGGGCGAGGGGAGAGAATGAGGGGGAAGTTGGGGGGGATAGCGGAGCAGGGTGGGGGAGGGGAGGCTTTCCTTTCTGCCGTGCTCCCGCAGTTTTGGACTCGTGGTTCTCCAGCTCCTCTGGGTGCGTGCCCCTCTGCTTGCGCTGCTGCTTCCTCGCTCGGTGTGTCAGTGCTGCTTGCTCTGTTCGGTTCTGCCGGTTCTCGCGCTGATCTGTACCTCTGTATTCCTGTCTATGTGTGTCGACACACAGTAGATAAATATATATATATATAGTAATATCAGAGTGAGGGGGCTGAACCGAACCGTCCTTCACTGTCCCTGGGTGCGTGGCGGAAGTGGAATTCCGCGATGCGGATTCTTGTTGTTGTTTGTTGTTTGTTGTTTGTTGTTGTCGTCGTCCCCCCTGCGACCTGCCCCGCGACCCACCCGCGACCCACTCCGCGACCACCCGCGACCCCACCGCGACCCACCCGCGACCCACCCGCGACACCCCGCGACCCACCGACGACCCACCCGCGACCTACCCGCGACCCACCCCGCGACCCACACGCGGCCCACCGCGACCACCGCGACCCACCGCGACCCACCCGCGGACCACACCGCGACCCACCCCGCGACCCACCCAAAATTTTCGGCGCCTGTGGCGGGTTTCTTTTGCATTCGTTCCAGGTGGAGAACCTGCGACCCACCCGCGACCCAAACCGCGTTCAGTGTACACATCAAAATTTTCGGCGCCTGCGGCGGGCTGTTTTTGAATTCCTCCCAGGTGGAGGTGGAGAGCCCTCGACCCACCCGCGACCCAAACTACGTTCACTGAACAAGCCAAAACTTCGGCGCCTGCGGCGGGTTTCTTTTGCATCGGCGACCCACCCGCGACCCACCGGCGACCCACCCCGAGACACACCCGCGACCCACCCCGCGACCCACCTGCGACTCACCCGCGACCCACCCGCGACCCACCGCGATCCACCCGCGACCCACCCGCGACCCACCCCGCGCCCCACCCAAAATTTTCGGCGCCTGCGGCGGGTTTCTTTTGCATTCGTTCAAAGTGGAGAACCTACGACCCAAACCGCGTTCAGTGTACAAATCAAAATTTTCGGCGCCTGCGGCGGGCTGTTTTTGAATTCCTTCCAGGTGGAGGTGGAGAGCCCGCGACCCACCCAGCATCGACGCCCGCGTCGCCCGCGCTCGCCCCCTCACTCTTATCCGCAATTGCGGGGTGCTACGTACACATCTACACAGGTTGATGTGTATACATTATATATATATATATATATATATATATGTATGTGTGTATACAGGACTGCATTGGCGCTTCGCGCCATGCACCTTGGTCCTTCGAGCTTTATGCGATGTTGCTCTTCGCGCCATCCGCCCTGGCCTTGAACTGCGGCTGGCTCCCTGGAGTATTCTTGGGTTGCATTAGGCCGAATCTCGAGGCTGACCATGCCTTTCGGCGACGAGAACGCCGCAGGCTCTGAAAGGACGGAAAAGTTAGAAAAACCCTGATCGTCGAACCTCGATCCTCGATTCTTTGCCGTCCTCTGTCGGGATGAAAAACCATCCCCTGGAGGAGTTCTTCGGAAGTCGCAGAGGGTTTTGGACGCTTCCGGCTCGTCTGGGGTCTCCCGGGCTTATCGGGGAATGTGGGGTGAGTCTTGGAAATTTGGGGGTTGTCTTTGCGAGCATCTTAGGCCGTCTGGAGGCCTTCTTGGGCCGTGAGGGGCCTTCTTGAAGGCCTATTGGGCCGTCTTGGGGCGATCTTTGGGGCCTGTTGGGCCGTCAATGAATATGGCCTTTCGAAGCCTTCTTGGGGGTCCTTTTGGGGGCTTTTTGGACCGTCTTGGGGCCCTCTTGGGCCGTCCTGGTGCCCTCTTGGGCCGTCTTGGGTGGCGATGGCCTTCTGGAAGCCGTCTTGGGGCCGTCTTGGGCCCTCTTGGAAGCCTCCCACAGTCCTCCTGGGCCTCTCTTGAGCAGTCTTGGGGCCCTCCGTTTGGGGGCGCTCCTGGGGGCTTCTTGTGCCGTCTTGAGGCGATCTTGGGGGCCTCTTGGGCGGTCTTGGACGCTGCTACGACTATCAAAGCGCATGTGCAGAAAATGTATGCTTTCCTGAGGAGATGAGACGATTTTTGCCTTTTGGGGGGTCCTTGTGAAGGTCTCAGGGGGCGTCTTGGGGGCCTCTTCGGTCGCCTCGCGGCCATCTATGTAGGTCCCTCTCGGGACGCTTCTTTGACGTCTCGGGGCCCTCCTGGACGGTCTTGGGGGCTTCTTGGCACCGCCGGTCCTCACAGGCCCGGAAGGTCCAAGTGATCTTGTCGTCCAGAAGGCCCGGGGGACCAGGGATCTGGGGGGACCCGATTAGAGGGTTCCTCTCAATAGAAAGGGAATATCGCGCAAGGCACAATCGCAGCCCGTGGATGTTCTCCTGTCTCTTTCTGTGCTCATTGTTCTAGCTCGACTCTCTACGAGGCACACCAGCGCAACGGCCAGGGGCAACTGTCATCATTTGCAGTTCACCAGGGGCAACGACTGGGGCGGCCACCCGCGTTCGTGGCATACCAAATAAGTGGTCCGATGCTGCAGCCAGCTACTGGGACGCCCAAGGGCGACGTCTGCTGGCGGCCACCAGCGTTTGCGGCATTTTAGGGCCAGAGAGCCAGAGCAACGTCGTGTGGCGGCAACCCGCGTTCTCGATCCAAAAACTAGCGGCGCAAGTGGAATGACCAGCGCAACTGGCCGAAGTCCTACCAGATATTCTGATGGTCAAGTGCACGTGCTATTTTGGGGGGTCATGGGCAGACGTGTCGGCAGGACATTGTGGAGCACACCCTGGTATTTGCAGTGCAGTGCAGTATATGAATGCTTGAAGTGCGTGAGTGACCATGCAGCCGTCGGGCTAGATGGATCCAGGCGGTGATGCTGGTGTGGTGAGCAGACGAAGGGCGGGCACAACTGAATCAGGAGGGAAAGGAACACACAGACACAATTAATCGTCGATTCCCCAGAAAATATGGGAAAATATGGGAAGTGGGGGGAAGACAAAAAAACCCAAAATATGGGAAAATATGGGGAATCGTTTTAGTTGTGTGTATTTATTTGTGTGTCCTGGGGCTCCTTCACTGAAGTGACTCCGTCTCCACTCGATCTTTGCTTTGTCCTTTCCCGCTCGGCTCTGGCGCGAGGCCCGAGTGCGGTGCGGCCTGGGCCCGGCACTTCGCCAAGTTTGTGGAGGCCTTGAAGCAGGAGGTTGGCCTTCACCTTCGCACCCTCGTGCCATGCTGTTGCTTTGGGCGGATTTGGCGCTAATCCATGCTTCTGCTGTGCTCTGTGCAGTGCCAGGCGTGCCAGCTGCACAGTGCGTTTGGCTCCGTGAGCTCTGCGAGACTCTGGAGGGTGTTGCGTTAAGTCGCACGGCTCTGCATCGTTCGACTCGGAGGTTGATAGACCTCCTACCCTGACACGTCGATTAGAGAATTGGCCGTTTTGGGTTAGCGAGAGGGCGTCACGGCCGTTACGTCGGTTTCGGTCCTAGGCCGTTTTCACTAAAGGGTGGTTTACTGAAGGGAGGTTTGTCCACCGCGGATTGACTGTTCGCACACTCGCGTTGCATTCCCCACGCGCTGTCTATGGAGTGCGTGCGGCACCCAGGGCACGGCTTTTTGCCTCGACGGGAGGGGGCCCCTGGGTAGGCCCAGGCCGTCCGGCTCCGGTGTGCGGCAGAGGCGTGGTTTTGCCAGTGCTGGTGATCAAGCCCTCTGCGTGGAGGGTGTCTCCGAAGGGCTTAGGCGACCCGTCCTCCTCCTCCTCGTCCTCCTCCTCCTCGTCCTCCTCCTCCTCGTCCTCCTCCTCCTCCGTCCTCCTCCTCCTCCTCCTCCTCCCTCCTCCCCTCCTCCTCCTCCTCCTCTCTCCTCTCCTCCTCCTCCTCCTCCTCCTCCTCCTCCTCCTCCTCCTCCTCCCCGTTCTCCTCCTCCTGCATCTTCCCCCCCCCCTCCCCTCCTTCACCACCTCTTCCTCCTCCTCCTGCTGCTTCTCCTGCTCGGGTTGCCTCCGGCCCTGGGGGGAACCGTGCACCTCTGCGTGTCCCATGTCTGCGCTCTGGCAGAGACCTGCTGTCGAATGTGCTTGTCCCGGCCACCTCCCGCGCCCGCCGATCACGCCCGGCGGCTCCGTACCTAGCTAGCGATGCAGTGCGCCCTGTGGGAGACGATGCGAGGCGCCCCGCGGGAGGCAATACCTCCTGGAGCCCCCTTCAGATGGTAAGGATTTCAGTTCTGCTGGTGGGGTCGGATGGGTGCAGCTTTTCGAGGGCCTCGCGTCGGGTGGCCCGCCCTGTTTGCTCGGTGGCGTTGCCACGCGACTTCGCCAGCATTAGGTCGGGCATGTTCTCCTACAGGCGGATTTTGGAAGAAAAGTGACACATTGTCAAACAATTGCCCAAAGTAGTCAAAGATAGAAACAAAAATCGTCCCCATATTTTTTGGTGATTATTTTGGAATATTCCTCCTGTAGAGAGACATGCCTGACTTCACGCCAGCGCGCTCGGGCGGGCGCCTGGGCGAAGGGGGGGCTGGTGGGTACGCGAGGGCGCCCTGGGCGTCGGCACAGTCAGGAACGCTGAGAGGAAGACCGCCTTGAGCTGGAGGAGGAGGAGGAGGAGGAGGAGGAGGACGAAGAGGACAAGGACGAGGACGAGGACGTGGACGAGGAGGAGGACACGCAGAGGTGCACGGTTCCCCCCAGGGCCGGAGGCGACCCGAGGAGGAGAAGGAGGAGGAGGAGGAGGAGGAAGAGGTGGTGAAGTAGGGGAGGGGGGGGGAAGATGCAGGAGGAGGAGAACGGGGAGGAGGAGGAGGAGTAGGAGGAGGAGGAGGAGGAGGAGGATAAGGAGAAGAAGGAGGACGAGGAGGAGGAGCGGGAGGAGGAGGACGGGTACGAGGAGGAAGGGGATGAGGAGGAGGAGGAGGATGATGAGGAGGAGCAGGAGGAGGGGGACGAGGAGGAGCAGGAGGAGGAGGAGGAGGAGGAGGAGGACGGGGACCAGGAGGAGGGGGAGGAGGAGGAGGACGAGGACAAGGGCAAGGAGGAGGAGGGAGGACGGGGAAGCTAGTACTCGTGGCCGCGGGTCGGCGTTTCTGGTTTTTATGTTTGCACGACGACGGCAGGTGACACAGACTCTGACCGCCCAGACTCCCGACGTTCGAACATTTTTGTTGTTGGAAGGCCAGAACAGTGGACCCGTAGTGGGCTCGATGCGTCCAGGGGGATGGGTCATGGTTTCGCAGAAAGAGGAAGAACAAAAAGGCGAGCCCCCGACACACACACACACACACGCACACATCAGCCGTTGCAAACGCGGCGGCGGATTCAACGATCTGGTTTTCTGAAAGCATTTATGCTGTTATGCTTCTATGCCTGCCAGACATATATATATGTACAGCTATGCGCCTATACATATCATCACCTTTTACATACCTGTCTGTCCATTATGACAGTGTATGCATGTATACACGCAGAACTGCATGCATGCATACATACATGCATGCATGTATGCATATATGCATGCATGTATGTATGTTTGTGTGCATCTATAAATGCTTGTATGTATGTATGTATGTATGTATGTTTGTATATTTATACATGTCTATATATATATATGTATGGCTGTTTAGTTGTAAGTAGGTATGCATACATGCATTTATGTTTGTACGTCTGTATGTATGTATGTCTTTCGGCCTGTCTGTCTGTCTGTCTTTCTGTATGTAGCTGTGTGCATGTATGTAGTTATGTATATAAATATGCATGCATGTATGTATGTATGGATGCGTGCATGTATATATTTATGTATGTATGTAGGTCAATGTGTGTATATACGTATGCATGTATCCATGCGTGTATGTATGTCTGCATGTAAGTATGTACGTATGTCTGTGTGTGTATGTATGTATCGTCCGCCAGCGCAGCCACTCTGCCTAGCCGCCGATGCAGCACTTATGCATGCATGTCTGTCTGTATGTACGTATGTATGTATGTACGCATGTATAGATGCATGTACGTATGTATGTATGCATGCATGCATGCATGTGTGTATGCATAACTGTATGTATATCTGTATGTATGCATGTATGCATGTAGGTATGCACGTATGTGTATATGTACATACGCGTATACATGTGTGTATATATGCATGCATGCATGCACGCATGCATGCATGCATGCGTGTATGTATGTATGCATGCATCTATGTATGTATATGCGCATGCATGTATGTGTGTGTGTGTGTGTTTGTATGTGCATGTGTATGTATAAATATGCATGCATGCATGTACATATGTATGTATGCATGTATGTACGTATGTGTCTATATACATATACACACACATATATATATATATATATATATATATATATATATATGCATGCGTATAGGTAGGTATGTACGTAGGTATGCATGCACGCACGCACGTACGTGTGTGTATATGTATAAACAGATGTCAACCTGTATTAAGGGTCTTCGGCCCATTCCTCCACCGCTCCTTGGTTGTAGATCAGAGGCCTCTTAATGCCTGTGGGGATCTCTTAGGAGGCCTGTACGAAGTCTCTTGGAGGTGGTTTAGAATGTTTTTGGGGCCTCTCGGGGGCTTCTTGGGGTCCTGTTGGGGCCTGGTTTGGGCTTCTGGGGGCCTCCTGGAGCTTTGGGGGGGCTCTTGGTGGCCTGCTGGCGGTCTCGGGGGTCATCTTGGGGCGGAGGGCTCGAAATGTCGGTTCGCGTTCCTCCTCTCGGGCCCCTCTTGGGGCCGTCTTGGGACATCTTGGTGGCTTCTTGGGTGGTCTTGGGGCCCTCTTGGGCCGTCTGGGGGCCCTCTTGGGAGCCTACTGTGCTGTCTTGGGGCGATCTCGGGGGCCTCTTGGGCCGTCTTGGCCGGTCGGGAACCGAAAGGGCGACAACGTCAAAATCCTCCCCTAAACTTGATAGCGGATTTTAGCCTTTTTGGGCCTTCTCGGGGGCCTTTTGGGGCTCTCTTAGGGCGCCTTGGGGGCCTCTTGGGCCGTCTTCGGCCATCTTGGGCATCTTGGAGCGCTCTTGGGCCGACTCGAGGCCGTCTTGGACCTTCTCGGCGGCCTCGTGGACTTCCCTCCTGCCCCAGAAAAGTCCCTCGGGCACACGGCCTGGCATGCGGGACCCCCCAGAGAATTCAAGATTTTGGGGTCGGGGCTCCGTAGATCTCTATTGCTGAGGACTGGGGATGCCAATGACCCAGGGGCCCTCCCGCTCGTGCCTCTCGGAAGGGGGTGGGCCTGAGGACAGAGGACCCGAAAGGCCTAATGAGGACCCGGAGGCGATTCTGGGGTGTCTTGGGGGCCTCTCAGGGTCCACGTCGATCCGATGGCTCCGATTCGATACGGATTCTGGCTGGCCCGCTGCGATTCGATTTCGATTTTCCCTCCATCCGATTCGGCTCGACGCTTGCATGGCGCTGTTGTGCGTCCTGGCGCTGGCGAACCGATTCGAGACTCCGTGCCGATGCGGCCCGATCCGACTCACGTTCCTATCCGATTTCCCGATTCGACACTGTCTGATCGAGGATGCCTGCGGCGAATCACCGCCGCCCCCTGCCTTTTGGAATCGCCCACGTGGCCGAGCGTTGCGGCAAGAGCTCCGCCAAGTTATCGGACCATGTGTTCCCCCAGCCGACGTAGAAGCCCTTCGGGGAACACTTGGGGGAGGATGGCGGGGAAGATAGGAGGAGGAGGGGGAGGAGGGGGAGGAGGAGGAGGAGGAGGAGGAGGAGGAGGAGGAGGAGGAGGAGGAGGAGGAGGAGGAGGAGGAGGAGGAGGAGGAGGAGGAGAGGAGGAGGAGGGGGCATCTTGGGAGCCTCTGGGGGCATTCTTGGGGCCTCCTGGGAGCTACCTGGGAGCCTCTTGCAGGCATCTTCGGGGCCTCCTTAGACCTCTTGCGGGCATTTGGGGGCTTCTCGGAGGCCTCTTTGGCCGGCTTAGGGTATTCCTGGCCCATCTGACGCCGTCGGAAGTCATCTTGGGGGCCTCTCTGGGCCGACTTGGGGCCCTCTTGGGGTGCTCCAGGGCCGTCTTGGAGGCCATCTAGGGTGTCGTGGGGGCCTCTAGGGCCGTCTTCGGGCCCTCTTGGGGCCATCTTGGGGGTCTCTCTGGGGCCATCTTGGAGGCCTCATGGGGCGATCTTGGGGCGATCTTTGGGGGCTCTTGGGCCGTCTCGGGCCGTTGGGAGG